TAACTTGGCTCACCCCAAGTTAAAAGGGTAATCCAGACGTGGAGCCCGTGCTCACTGTGCCTAGAGGGGTATCAGCTACACCGCACAAAAGAAGGCTGAAATGATCGTCTCAGGCTGCTGTATCTCTCGTGCAGAGGGAACTTGCTAGTATTTTGGATCTGGACTGGCCGTACAGGTGGGACCAGTCTAATATGATTCAGATATGTTCCCTCTGTAATGGCACAAGTGAGCAAAATTTATTTTTAGACCTCAGCAGGGATTTACAGAAGGGCAAGCTATTGATTTTTGTCCATTCTCAGAGTTCTCATATTCTTTCTTTTTGCTTTAACTACAACTACAGTTTTTAATATATTAATATACAGTACTTCTATAAACAAGCACATAAGAAAAGGATATGGTGGAGCTGTATAAGGCAGTGACAGAATGCACACAGTTCTAAATCACATTTTTACATCACACAACTTCTTTTCTTAATTTTATACTAAATGTTTTATATTTAATGTTTTATACTAATACTGCAAAAAAGACTACAATAATAAAATACTGGTGTTACCTCTCTATACTAGTGGACCAGGGAGGAAAGCCCACCTGCCCCACATTTGCAAGCCATAACCTGACCATATCCAAATTAGTTCATCCATGTGGACTTTTGAGTTTAGATTCATGTTGTCCATGCAATTGTTTCAGGAAAAATAATTGAACAGTGTGCAAAGCAATGCAAAAATGTCAAAAATATCACCTAACCTAATGACTATGCCATCTCAGACATTTTTACAATGCCAATTGTGACTTGTCCTAATATGACTATATGTTTACTAAAAAAAAAATTGTAGGAATTTTTTTGATGGTTGCTTTTTCTTTTGCAATTTTCAATTTCATGAAAAAGAGGATCAATTGAAAAAGGGGAGCAAGAAATAAAAAAAAAATCACAAATCTAATCAGTAAATCAAAGTTGATGTAAGTGGCATTGGCAATGGTTAGGCACAGCAGTAACCTAACCACCTCATCAGTATCAACTACGATCAATGACACAGGCTCCCACTCTGACACAGGAGCAGCAAAGGTAAAGCACACTCTCACTGCTATTCTTTCTCCCTCAATAGCTGTAGTCAATGTGTAAGTAACTTTTCATACAGTTAAAAGAAATGCAGTTGGCTGTACAATCTTTTAATTTGAAAACATTTTACACATTTGCATGTTTACTTTCATATTTCATTGTATACAGATCACTTATCACGTCATTTTGGAGTTTAGCATGGAAAGAAAAAGATTTCTCTAGCAAGAGTTAATTTGAACCCAATAAATGTGTGCAATGTACAAGCCCCTCTCCCCTCCACCCATACAGTAGGCATGTTTCAATTAGAAAGTTCTAATAATAAGGGAATGCTATCAGATTCCTTAATAACAGTCGGAAGGATCTTTGACCATTTTTATTTATCTAATTTTGTCACTATTTTGTATATGACAAAATAGTAGTACTGCTTTTATGCAAATATGTGTCCTAAACAACACTGAAAGAAATGCATCACTGTATAATCGCCAAATACAAATTATTCCAATATACAAATATATATAAATTTACAATATACAAATAAATATACAATACAATACAAAATAAATATACAATAATATATATATTTATACAATTTAAAATACAGTAGATTAACAAATTTTAAAAAATAGTAGTTTTTATGTGCTTCTCGCCAGCATTCTATAAACACATGCTAGTTTAGCCCATATGTATTTGCTATTTATGCATCCCACATGGCAAATAAATGTTTGCTAATATATTTTACAGCAAAAGTTGCTTCATAATGATGGGGGTTAAATCAAATATTTGCAGTGTGTTTTAAAGAGTCGGCTCAAAACAAATGTGCAGTCATTTTTAAATGAGCTGGTTGCTTTATTTTATTTCTCTAATGCATAATAATTTGAATGAACATTTCTGAAGATGTAAATAGAGTAGAAGATATCTGTTCTCATTCTTGTAAATGCTTGCATACAGGATCACTATGTGACATGGCTGGTATTCTACTGGAGAATAATGTAGCCATAGGCAAATTTTAGCTCTGTCTTTTACATCAGTTTAAAAATACACTGACACTTTGTGAAGCTTTTAGGAAACAAACTGGGGAATAAATGTGAATTTGTGCAAGCATATACACGTGTATAGCAAGTCATTACAAAGTACCTAATGGGTCTCCTAATAATGCTGTAGTTCTTATACAGATTCAGTTCACTTTTATTCAAAAATTTATTCAAAAGTAATTTCTAGATATCTTAGCTGATTATATAAAATAATCCACTGAAACATCTACCAATATAGCAATGATATTTTCAGTTTTGGTCTACTTTTCAAATTAATGTATTACAGAACATTGAAAATAATTTATAATTTATATGTCATAGGTTATGATCTGCTTTAATTGCAGCCAAATTGTTAAGATTTTTTTTAAAAACTTACTGGAGTAATCTGTGCATTATCTTGCTTACATCTCATTAGCTAAACAAAAATAATTACATAATGCTGAAATATAGACAAAAAGAAACTGGGGTCAACCCCTACTAGTGAATTACAATATAGAAAAATATATAAAGAGAACACTACAAGAATCAAACATGGTAATATATAAAAAAAATGAATTTATACCAATTTAAAATACAAACACACAAATACAGTGGCTCAATTAAGCTCCTAACCATATAGGACAAAATACCTTAGTTAAGTTAGGGCATAATCTCTTTATGGGGAATCAGAATAAACCTGCCCCTTAACTCCTACACTGTGTCAAGCAAAACACCCAGACAAAATATTTCAGGAACACAGCTGAATGCCATCCCAACCATGCAAACCCACCGGAACCGGTCTTAATACAGGACAGATCTCCTCCTCATAACATGGTGAAATTGGAGGGTTCCCTGTGCTCACAAGACCCAGACCTGAGGAAATGTCTATACAATGTCCTACCGAAAGGTGACAAGGCCGAAATGTTAGCAAGGTTGGAGGCTACATTCCAACAGAAGCTTGTAGATATGGGGAAAGAGATTCTCCATATCTGTAATAGCCAACAATTAACAGCAGGCATGGATGTGCAAAATGCTTACCTTTCCTTAATTAAAAACTCACTAAAAGACTTGGTGAATAGCGGTTGGAGAAACAATTTAAGAATCTCTGGGCTTCCAGAGCAGGAGACAGAGGACTTACTTGAAGTCTTGACAGTGCTGTTTAACTTAATCCTGGGAGATCAACAGACACTAGACATGTGTAATTCCTTTCGGTCAGAATGTAAATTCCGATGAATTTCGGCTATTCGGACATTTGGATGCTTCCGAATGTCCGAATTGCCGAAGTGCTGAATTTTGGAAGTACCAAACCAAATTGACGAAGTGTTGAATTTCGGAAGTGCCAAACCGAACCAGTGCCGAATTTCAGAACTGCCAAAGTGCTTCGGATTTCTGAAAAGTGGCAAAACAGGAGAGGGAGGGAAAATTAAGGGAACGATGACAGGAATCTAACCTTACCCCTAACCCTAACCCTTCCCCTACCCTCTAACCCTACACCTAACCTTACCCCTGACCCTACATCTAACCCTACTCTTAACCCTAACCCCAACCCTACCCCTAACCTAACCCATAACCCCAGGGTTAGGGGTAGGGTTAGGGTTAGGGGTATTGTTACGTTTAGGGAATTGCCGAATTCCCAAAGTGCCAAAGTCCCGAAATGCAGAATTCCTGAATTTCGGAAGTGCTGAACCAAATCGAAGTCCCGAATTGCCAAAGTCCCGGATTTCAGAAGTGCCGAACCTAATTTTTTTGCCCATGCACACCCTGCTTATTCTAGATAGAGTACATCGGTCTATGATGCCTAATGGTACCTACATTTAACCACCCAGGGATGCTAGTTGCAGGCTGCACTATTATTCCCTCAAAGAGGAGATTTTGCACTCTCTGAGCTCATCCTCTCCACCACTATTTTTTCACAGCAATTCCATCCAAGACCTCTCATGGCTGACCCTCTAGACTAGAAGGGCCTTGAGGTTTTTTACTGATCATCTCCACAACCGTAATCTAAAGTATCGGTGGGGTTTTCCATTTGCCCTTGTTGTCAATCACAAAGGATCTACATATTAAATCTCCACCATTCAAGCTATGGAACCAATTCTCAAGGTCTTTGACTTACCCAATCATGAATTGGTACTCCCCACAACAACCCAACATATCCAAGACACTAACACAGCACTAAAGATTGAAGTGCCCATCCAAAAAGAGATACACTGAACAGACAGATCAAACCTCCAAGTCTACATCTTCTAAAAGCTCAGCTAATAAAAAATAACCATATCCTTTTTATCAGTTTATGCCTGTATACTGGCCCATTGCAGGTCCAAAAGCTTCATCCAGGCTTCCTGGACTGGTCATCTTGGTTAAATAATATGCTCATATTCACTTCTTTATGGAGCTGATGTTGGGGATACTACTTGCTTGCCTTCTAACTCTATGATCTTACTGAGTCAGGATGTCGAGAATAGAAAACAATGTCAAACCTTCCATAAGATTCTTTGTGAAATTCACTTTACAAAGAGTATGTTTGTGCTAGCAAGGGACTATAATACGACTCCATATGCTCCCCTACATACATCTTCCAACACCTTTTTATATCAGGATTCAACTGCAAAAAAATAAATTTATTGTTAGACCAAGCCTAATTATTCAATAGCTGGAGCATTACTCACCCCAATTTGCAAGACTACTCGTATTACTCACCATCTACTGGTTTATATGCTAGACTAGATATGTTACTTCTACCACATAGATTTCTACATCTAATATCTGGCCTGCTCACTCTATCTTTTACAGGTTTTACCAATCCCTCTTCCCAAACATTTCCATTTCATTGTTTAGGACTGGCAAACCTTCCAGACTGGCTTATACACTGCTAGGTTGCTCCTAATCTTATGGGGGTTTGGGTGTCTCAAACTTAGAACCATTAGACCATTATGCTAACCAGGATTTATGATCATTCGTGCATAGGGGAAAACATTGGGTAGAACTGGAATGGTCCTTCCTTGTAGTACATTTGGAGACAGTCCCATGGCAAAAGTCAAGACACCAATTTCTAAGCCATAGTCCACGCCCAAAATTACACCCAATCTACGGGTCTGGACACAAATAAGGAAAAACTACAATCTATCACATCACTCTTGCCCTCTATATGCAGTAACCCAGAATCCTTTGTTTACACCAGGCTTACCCCCACCGTTATTCAAGAATATCATTATACTCAGCTCCTCCACTTAATAAGTTATATACCAGACCACACCAAAAGCTATTGCATCCTCTCTAAATTTAAACAACTTTGCAAAACACAATCCAATCACAAAAAGCACCTATAAATGTTCTATCATATGATCCAAAACACACAAGGACATGCACTACTCAGATTTACCACCCAGTAGTTACAAGAATTGCAGTGCTTCTTGACTCTTAACAAATGGAGAAAAATATTCTTATTTGCCCACAAGTCTTCCTACAATACAGCTACACAATTACAAACTGATATCTATATGCATTACTCTCCCACACAAATACATTATTTTTTCCCAACCTCTTCAGACATGTGTTGGAGGTGTCATCAGTCATGGGTAACGTGCTCACACGTCTGGTGGTATTGTCATGCAATTGAAACATTTTGAAGGCGCATAGCCTGTATGGTACACTTGACCACTAAGGAAGTAATTGACTTCACACCCACAACAATGTTATTATTTTTATTTTCACAATCCCTGCACAAATTCAAAGCTTCCCTGTTGAAACACATGCTGACTGCAGAAAATTAGTTAATCCCCTTCTTTTGGAAGAATGCTTCCCCAACAGCCTTAAGATATTGGTTGCAGAAAGACGAAAAGATTAGAGTTATGCAGGAACTGTACTACTCTAAATATTTTCAATACATGCACACTTGGTAACCCTGGGTTATTTTCCTACAAAGGGACACACTCAACTTTCAGGATGCTTTACTGAACACCACAACATAGATTGGATGCACATTTTTACTTTATAACCTATCTTTAATGGACCATTATTCTGAGCAGCATATGTATCTAGTTTTTTATTTTTGTTTGTATGCATGTCAACCTGCCCATATAATTCTCAAGATTGTGTACATGCATTGACACAAAAATGTATACTTTAAGTCGCTTACATTCTTTCCGACCACTATTATGTTGGATGCAATGCATTATTTTTCTTTCATTTCAGCTGACTTATACACTGTGTCTGCAGTAATTAGGCAATAAAGAATCATGCAGAATATGCATTACACATACTGCAGGGATATATATATTTTCATAACTTTAACAACATTGTATGTGTCCCTGAAACATGGTGGATATAGTAACCCTAATTATATTTGACATGTTTCTTCTATAAACATTTGAAAAAAAATAAACAAAAAAATACATAAAGGTATTATATCAGCACAAGCAAGCCCAAAACAGCATATTTTTTCTCTCTATAAAAAAGGTAGACATATAAATAATTCCCTGTTATAATAGATTGTTCCATTTTAGATATAAATGAAAAGCATAGAAAAATAACACTTAAATAGTCTATACATTGCTGTACAATAATGAGAAGTGTTGATAACCTAAAGTAGAGCCAATACAACTAAACCATAACAATTAGTATATTAGTACACAGAATCTGTACAAGACATAACATAAAGCATTAACAATATAGAGTAAGAGGTCAATAATAACTATAAAATGAACAAAATCAAAAAGGCCACACAAAAGTATATATTTATAGAAAGTAGACATCACAGGCTATTTACCTAGGGATATTTTGACACTTTTTACATAGCTATTTCATTGCTAAACTCTGCTAAATATTGGAGTAAAATTGTGTTTTTTCTCTATTTTGGCATAAATACATATAACAAGGTTTTTTTAATGTGTATTTCGTAAAGCTGATGTGTGCTATTCCTGCACAGAACCCCATATTGTGTTTAGCTATATCTGCTGAGTACAACAATACCCCCCATTGTATGCCTTTGGCACTATTCTGTGAAGCTACCAGGCCATAAAAGAGACAAGGCTATTTCAGTTTCTATAGTTAGAATTTTCATAGATTGATTTGATGGGCCTATGTCTCTTTTTGTGGCATTATAGCACTTTAAATGTTATAATAAAACTAAATAAAGAGCTTCCATTTGAGAAAGCACTCACCCCAGGGTATTTTATATGGTGTATATTGTGCCTTAACTTGTCACCATTTTTTCACCAATTTATGTCAGTTTGTGGGGATGAAAAAAAATGTGTTGCATTTTTGCTGAGTATTTCATAAACTTGATATGTGCCACTGTCATAAAATCCCCCAAATAATGCTCAGTTACATCTTCTGAGTAAATCAATATGCCAAATGTATGACCTAGACACTATTTTGTGAAGTTACAGTGCTGTAAAAGAGATGTGAGAAGTTCAGGTTTTTAAGTGGGAATTTTCATAGATGGTTTTTGTTGGCTCTGTGTTCCATTTCGGAGCACTTCAGCAAGCGACATATTCCAACTACACCATAAAGGCATACCATTTCTTAAAGAAGACATCCCAGGGTATTTCAAAAGGAATATTTTGAACCTTAGTGGGGGATAATTTTTCCGCTAGCCTGTACCAAGTGTAGTGGCAATAAGCATTTTTTCTGGCTTTTTCACACACAAAGTGAGTTGCACAGTATATTTTGCAAATCTTATGTGTGCAACAGCTGTATAATATTTCATATGTTGCTCAGCTATGTCTTCTGAGTAAAACATTACCCTGTATGTACCTTTGCCAGGTATATGTGGATGTTGAAGGGGCACATTTGAGATGCAGCCATTCTGTTTTTTTTCTAACTTTGAAGTTTTACGCTGTGCCCATGTTCAATTTAGGAGTAGTTTAGCTGGTTGGAAATTGAAACTTCCCCACAAACACATGCTATTTATTAAAGAATACAGCCCGGGGTAATTTAAAAGGCATATTTTGAACCTTAGCGTGGAATCATGTTTTCGCTAGTTTGTTTCAGATTTTATGTATTTTTTTATTGTTTATTTATTGTTTTTTTATTTTAAAACTTGTTTTACTTTTTAAAATTGTTTTTAAACTTTTTTGTTTACTTCTTAGATTTTTTAACTTTTTAAACTTTCTTAAAACTTTTTTACACTTTTTTACTTTTTTTAACCGTTAACCCCTAACTAGCAGTGAGCAGCACTAACAGTAAATTCCTTAATTCCTCCTAACTCCCACCCACCCCAGCTAGCAAAATATATAATTTTAAAATATTTAAATTAATCAATGAAATAAATTGAAACTCTGAGGGTTAAAAAAAATAATAAATTTAACGCTCAGGGGGTTAAAAAAACAACAGAATACAGATCACAGTATTATACTGTTATCACCATAGGCAGTGATCAACTTACAGTGAAGGGGTTAATTTTTATTAGGACTGGGTAAAGGGGTGGGGCGGGACTTTTTTAGTTTTATTTTTAAACATTATTAAAAAAACATTTTTACTTTTTAAAACTTTTTAAAGCTTTTAAAAACATTTTTTTTAAAGTTAATTCCTAGCTAGCCTAACACCAAATACCCCAATTCCTCACTAACTTCCACCCACCCACCTTAGCTAGCTAAATATATAATTTTAAGGAATTACGTTTGTTTTATAATACAAAGTAATTAAATTAATGTTTAAATTGGTATACAATACAGTTTTTTTAATTTTATTTTTCTAATTCTATTGTATCCTTGTAGTGCTCAACTTCTTTAAATATCAAAATATTTAAAGTTCAGTTTGCATTATTACAGCTATGTGCAGTTATACTAACATCTGCCCTCCAGAAAGTAGTAAGAGAGAATAGGGACTTAAGACCTGGGACTATAGGTAATCAAGGAACCTTATAATATATAAATATATGTATAGCGTTTCTGTTATTGTTCCAGGTATTTCCCTTGGGCAATTCTACCTGGTGGCCCTGTCTCACCATCATACTCTTTGACACACATGCCTAACTAGTGACACTTTCGTGATGAAGTAGACTGAGAGCACAATAGAAATAAAAAAGTTAATTAATAATGAGTTTTAATTGAGGATGACAATGTATTGACTTGAATAACCCTATGATGCAAGCATATATACCTATCATTAAATCAAATTATATTTCTCTATAAGCCCCAGGGTTACAGGATTAAATATAGGGCTATAAATAAATTATCTCTTTTTTTTTTAATTTGTTTGCTCTGTTTTTACTCTTTGGAAAACACCTTAAGATAAATGAACTTGTGAACTATAGTTATGTAGGAGAAATAAATAACATGACAACATGAACATTATATTTACACATTAGTGGACATTTTCTGAAAAATATATTAAAATCAACTGAAAGCCTTTGCCCTTGGAGGACTGATAGTACCTATTTACATTACCTGATGTTAGCTTACAATGTTTTGTTTATTTTGTGGATGCAATTTAGATGTTTCATGGAATATGAATAAAATGCACACTAAAGAAATAAAATACCAAATTCTAAATCAAAATATTTATTCACATAACGTTAAACAGATATATACATATGGGGGGACATGTCTGACTGCCAACAAGCATGGCTGCTTGAATCACTAGTTCAGGCAAAGCCAGCTTTAATTTATATTTGCAGCGATAGTGGTCAACACTATAGGCAAAAACTGCAACCTTTTAACATGCCCTGGTCACTGAGGGCACCCATCAGACAAAAGCATCTAAAGCATCAATTAGGGAATACCTCATGGCCCCGAGGCCTTGCCATCCCAATTGGCCAACACCAATATGGCACCCAGCCCTATCCGTACCTTCTTCCGCTCTATGAGCTGTTCTCCCCCACACACTGTGGCAGAGAGAGGAACAGGGGCAACTCTCAAGTTGGCGGCCAGAAGGGGCACCTAAACATGGGTCATCAAGACACCATAAGATTTTCCACCTTTTACAAGGGCTCTGGACTTGCCGGCAATCACAGTGACAGGTTTGGGCAGGCCCAGGTCTCAGTCCTGCTCTCTACTTCTCCCTCCCTGTTTTTTGTTGTTTGCACTTTTGTTTCACCGTTATGGTGGTTTAAAGCTTAACTGAGACCATTTGGTAATCATTTCATATTTTTTATGACATATAGTTTGCAGGGGCATTGCCTGATGTCTAGCCCTACGGAGGCAGTTGAATATACTTATAATTTTTTTGAAAACAATATGACGTGCCATGGTTTTGTGTGGGCTCTAATGTGTGACAATTGTGGGTAGACATCATACTATTTCTGCTGTTCTAGTGGGAATGCTGTGTCAGGACATGTGTCCATTACCATTTCCCTGTAAACCATTCCAAGATGTATATCAAATGAGGTTTTAAGGAAGTCCCCAATACCTTGCTGCTGCACCACACTCCATTTATATAGTTTTCCCCCTGCCTCCCAACTTCACTATATCTATAGAGGTTTATCACCATGCAGTACAATAATAACTTGCATCCCATGTAGGTGAATACTATGTTGGAACCTGAGGTGACCTGTGCTGGGTTCTGCCTGATGGTAGGCTATTTAATATTTTTTTATGATATATAGTTCACTGTGGCCTTATGATATTTTCTTGTTGGGTTGTGGCTCCAAACATGCACATATGGTATTAGTATTTGGATCCCTTAGGTGTCCACTACTGTACGGTATGGGGTTGCATCCCCCAAATGATGACACAGACATCATGGGAAGAATTAAAATTGTAATACAGCTGACTATTTGTCCAGAGCTGCTGTGTATTCTGTGGGACTAGTGACAAGGTTTTAGGTATATTCTTTGGTTTAAGATATATTTAGTTATAGGTATATTCTTTGGACATCAATGTATTGCACCTTGTGGCTCAACAAGTTCTAAAATATGTCCCATGGAGGAAGACGTCACATTGGGTTTCTGTTGTGGATGAAGTCATGCCATGGCTGGGTATGTGTCCAAACATGATTTTCTAATGCTCAAACCAGTTATTTTAACTGAGGTTCACAGCTGTGACCCAAATACAGAGTCTTTTAATCTCAAGTAGATAACCAATCTGAAGTATCCCCTTAATGTTTAAACAGAAGGAGTTTGAATTCTCCACCTTTTCTTTCTTTTTTTCCCCTCACACCAAAGGTTAGCATCGTGTCATGCCTTGGCAGATGTTTACTTGCTATCTACCACAAAGGGGTCTCGTGGAGCATAACAAGGCTCCTGAATATCTTGTACCCTTAAAGAAGTACAGTAGTTTGCAGTTTTGTGCAAGTACACTATACCTGCGTGGTGACAGATATAGGGGCTTACAGATAAGACAACACATCTACACCCACATTAAGAGTCCAGCGCTTGGGGTTGGGTTAGCATCTGACTCGATCACAATGAAATATGATTGGGGGATTCCAGTGGGTTGGACAATGTTTTGTTTGAGGTCCTCCTGAAGGTATGGAACGAGATTATACAATTAAATTAGTTAGGTTGATTGCTAGAATGTTTAAATAATGGACACCCAGAATTGATATATATATATCCTAAATTATTTACATTTTGAGTGAGATAAACAAGGGATTTACATTGTTAAGCTGTTAAAGGTTATTCAGTCCTACTCTGCTTGGTATGATATGTGCCTTCTAGGGTGACTGAGTGATAACAGGAACATGGCCACGCTCGTCCAGAAAACACTAACTCTTGTCTACATCACGGGAGTTGGTCCGTATGATATTTTTCTCTCCCCCACAAGATTAGACTGCAAACATCTACAGAAGAGGAGGTTGAAGTTTTTATGCGTGCAGGTGACAGTCAAGTACTGTGGCCTGGATAGTATCTATCCACAATAATAAATGTTTTCTTCATGTGACACTCTTCTCACCCATCTGTGCTTTCTTTGGCTTTCCTTCTACTTATCTGCTCAATCACCTCATACATTATCCTTCTCCCTCCTTTTTATCTCTCCCTGCCATCCCCTCACTCTCCTGGGTGGGAGACATGGGAAATGGCGGGCATTGGGGGTCAGCAAGAGGCACTCTCATTCATGCCAGCAGATCTGACGTTGATCTCCATCAATGCCAGAGGCTTAAATATATATACAAAAAGCAAGCTCACCTGCTGCAAGAACTCTGCTCCAGGTGGGCCTCTCTTGATTTTATTCAGGAAACCCACTTCAGAGGAGACTCAGTACCAGCACACCATAATAGGGACTACCCTGTAGGTTTATTTAGTCATAACCCACACTCAAAAACAAAGGTAGTGCTTATATTCTTCTTTAGAACACTGACATATACAGAATGAGAAACTCTGACAAATGTGGTTGGTAGGTGCCTATTTACTAAGGGTCTGATTGGGGACACAATGCACATATTGGCTATTATAAATGTATCTAATGCTTCCCAATTCCTCTTGCTACAACTTGCTCTGCATGAGCTTAAGTCATTCATGGAAGGTGCAGTTGTGCTTTCAACATGCCCCTACATCCTCACTAGGAGACTTCTGGACATACACACATAGACATGCCTAAACAACATGCCAGGTTGATATCCCTGTTGCATAAATATCAACTGGTGGATTGCTGGATGGCTCTCCACTCTTTTGACTCCATTACCCAAGTGTCCTACACATGAATTGATTACTTTTTTATGTGCTACTATGACCTTCTGCTCTTACAATCGTTGGACTTATCCTCCATGACGTGGTCGGATCATTGCCCACTGGGTATCAGACTATCTTCTCCACTGTTGCTGCAATGCTCCTGGCGCCTTAATGAATCAATCTTGGCATACCCGCTCCTGGTTAAAGAGACGTGCACAACACTACTTCAATATTTTGATACCGGAGACTTTAACAGTTTGGGAGGCATACAAGACAGTTGTGAAGGGATACTTTATAGGAGTGAGTTCCTGCCTTAAGATTCAGACGTAATACAAGACAGTCACGAGAGGATACTTGATAGGAGTGAGTTCTAGCCTGAAGAAGCAGCGATCAAAACAGATAGCGACTTTATGTACGTCCATTGCCAGACTGGAAAGACTTCATAAGGTGATGGGGTCCCCCTAGACCTTAGAAAATCTCAGGGGGGCAAGGGGACAGCTTATGGAGGAGACACCTTACATGAAATTAATAAAAAAATCTTACCTTCACTTCCGGCATTGTCTATATGAACATGGGAACAAATGTGAGGAACAATTTGTGAGGCTTCGACAACAACGGAGAGCATGTTTATACATAAAGTGAGGGATGGGAAGGGAGGCATGTGAGACTTACAGCAGGAGATAGTTGGGGAATTATAAGACTATTACCAGAATATATTTAACCTTGCCAGGAATTCCCCAACACAACGACAACCACCTCCTGCAGTACACATATTAAACAATATCTCAATTTGCTGGTATTAATGGAGGAGACAGCAGAGTCCTTAGAGGCACCCCTCACCATGGAAGAACTGAGACTTGCAATCAAGACATCTAAAATAGATGTGCCCCGGGACCAAAACCATACATGCAGAACTGGAGCAACATCTGCCTGATGCATTCAATGCCATCTGAGAGTGCCATACTCCTTCAAAACATCTTGCCTACACTCGATCGGATTCATCTCAGACAACCTCAGCTACAGTTCACTTCCACCCGGCTACATTGCAGGCTCAGCATCAAGAGAAGCCCAAAGGAGGACAAGGATCCCACACAATGCCTCAGCCATCAACCCAGTTTGGTCCTGAATTCTGATATTAAATTATTTTGCAGGATTCTGGCAACAAGGCTGTCTGCACACAAATTTGGACCATTTGTACCAGATTGGGTTCATATGAGGCCATGAGGCATGAGATAATATGATTAGGGCATTGAACCTATTTCATGTCACCTGGGGATCTGGGTACCAGGTCCTCTTCCTGTCAATGGATGCCAAGAAGGCGTTTGACAAGTTGAACTGGGGATTCATGCATGCAACACTTGCATATGGCTTTGGCCCACATTTTTCATCTTGGATTGCTATGCTATATACATCTCCGTCAGCCCGCCTTTGGATAAATAGGGCACTGATGAACCCATATGATTTTAGGAATTGGATTAGACAGGGTTTCCCGCTTTCGCAGCTCTTGTTCAATTTGACATTGGAACCCTTTCTATGTAAATCAGATTGAAGGAGAAGTTGCAGGGCTTACAGATGGGTAGTATTCACTATATGATCCGAGCATAAGCCACCAACTTTCTATTTCATTTGTCCATACTGGCAGGCTCTCTCACCATGCTAACTATCGCACATAGCACTTTATTAAATATTAGCTTAATCAGCACTCAAAAGGATTATAAAAGGCACTTTAAATGGATGAATTGAAATACTCTACTGTTTAAAATATAACTATTTAGATGCAGAAAGGCCTTTGAGAGGCTAAATTGGCAATATATGATTCCAGCTCTGGAGTCATATGCAGTAATTAAAATCTGTATGGCCCTATATTTTTATCCCTCAGCTCAAATTTAGTATTCTGGTTTTACCATCTCTCTTTTTCCCATTACCAACAGCACTAGACAGCACTGTCCTTTCTCCACCTTATTGTTTATATTACCTTTGGAACCACTTGATATTTGCTATTTGCCAACAGTTTTCATGTTTTCTGTACTTGGTTTTTACATAATTTATTTGTAAACTTTAATTTATTATTGAATATTACTAAAACTCATGTAAGCCTAAATAATTTCTTGACTTCATGACAATACAAGCAAAATATCCTTATGATTGAAGATCAGATTTTTTTTTTTTATAATTCTTTATTTTTTCAGTGCATGTGAAATATCGTTTGCAGGGTATAATATGACATTAGTAGGCAATGCAAGAAGGCAGTTTGCGTATACAAAGCATGTGGATAAAGATGCACCATTTTTGTGGTTCAGGCAATAGGTAAAAGGTTCTGACCTGAGTCAGACCTTGCATAAAAACAACAATATTAAACGTTGGTTTGCATGTCTGGCAGGGTGCTTGTTGTGATGATATAGTGTGCTAGCATGCGCAAAATCAGGCATAAATACTGTTTTTGCTGAGGCTATTGTTATTATTGATGGAGTTACGTGTCTGTCTAGGGAGTGCTTTTCAGGTACCCTTGTGCATGTTAGGGATGGCACCCTTCGACCTGTGCTTCTCTTGATGCCGAGCCTGCAATGTAGCCGGGTGGAAGTGAACTGTAGCTGAGGTTGTCTGAGATGAATCCGATCGAGTGTAGGCAGTTTGGTGGCTGCTAAGTGTGGTCATGTAGCTTGATGTGGGTTTAAGTATATGGGTGTGCGTGGTAATGTGTGCCTCCGTCTTTTAATCAGCCTCGCTTGTCGGGCCTGGGCTATAGATGATAGTGTTGTTGCTTCGAGGGGAGCTTGGGCCGGTTATGGCTGTTAGTGCCCCTAACCAAGGGTGCTGTGGGGGTGCGGGGTTGCGGTGGGTGTAGAGCCCTACCCCTGCATCCCTATCTCACGGAGAGTTGACCCTCCATTCAAAGCCTCGTAGGAAGGGTCAGTATATCCCTAGCTCTGCACATGGGGGTTTGTAGGTTGCGGTCAGGCCCGGACTGGCCATCGGGCACACCGGGCAAATGCCCGGTGGGCCGCGGTGGCCATGGGCCGAGGCCGGCAGGGGAGGTCCCAGGATCTCCCCTGCCGGTCTATGCAGGGCCGGCACTCTCCCAGCGCCGGCCCGCTTTGTGCCACGACGGGCCGGTGGGGAGATCAAGGATCTCCCTGACCGGCCCACATGCGGCCGCCGGCGGGGAGGGAGGGAGACAGCCAGCCAGGCTGGAGAGAGGACCCGGCGGAGCTCTAACTTGCAGCTCCGCCGGGTTCCTCTCGCGAGATCCGGCGCGTTGCCATGGCAACGACCGGATCTCGTGAGAGTGAACTCTAGCCTCACAGGCTAGAGTTCACTCACCCACGAGGACCACCAGGGAACACCGCGTGCCGGACCCCCCCTCCCAGTCCCAGCGTGCCGGTCCCCCCAGCGTGCCGGTCCCCCCCCCTCCCAGGCTAAAGGTAAGAAGGGAGGGGGGGAAATAATGACTTTTTTTTATTTTTATTTTATTTACCCCCCCTACACACACACACAATAACATTTATACAGCACTCTCACACCCATCACACACAGCACTCTCTCCCACAGCACTCTCACAGCACATCACACACAGCACTCTCTCACACATTACACACAGCACTCTCTCACACATTACACACAGCACTCTCACACCCATCACACACAGCACTCTCACACCCATCACACACAGCACTCTCTCACACATTACACACAGCACTCTCACACCCATCACACACAGCACTCTCACACCCATCACACACAGCACTCTCTCACACAGCACTCTCACACCCATCACACACAGCACTATCACACACAGCACTATCACACACAGCACTATCACACACAGCACTATCACACACAGCACTCACACCCAGCACTCTCTTACCCATCACACACAGCACTCTCACACCCAGCACTCTCACACCATCACACACAGCGCACTCTCACAGAGCACTCACACACACACAGCACTCTCACACCCATCACACACAGCACTTTCACACACACACAGCACTCTCTCACAGCACTCTCACAGAGCACTCTCTCACACCCATCTCACACAGCACTCACACACCCATCACTCACACACGGCACTCTCACACCCATCACTCACACACGGCACTCTCACACACATCACACACACACCGCACCCTCACACACACACATACACCGCACCCTCACACACACACATACTGCACCCCTCACATACACACAGAACCCCCCCAACACACTGCACCACACACATACACAATACTTCCAAATATATAAATATATATATATATACATACACACACACACACACACACACACACACACACACATACATACATATACATATACATACACACACTACACTCTTAAAGGACCACTCTAGCCACCCAGACCACTTCAGCTTAATGAAGTGGTCTTGGTGCCAGGTCCTTCTAGGGTTAACCCATTGTTTTATAAACATAGCAGTTTCAGAGAAACTGCTATGTTTATCAATGGGTTAAGCTTTCCCCCAAAGCCTCTAGCGGCTGTCTCATTGACAGCCGCTAGAGGCGCTTGTGTGCTTTTCACTGTGAAAATCACAGTGAGAGCACGCAAACGTCCATAGGAAAGCATTATAAATGCTTTCCTATGCGACCGGCTGAATGCGCGCGCAGCTCTTGCCGCGCGTGCGCATTCAGCCGACGGGGCGGATCGGAGGAGGAGAGCTCCCCGCCCGGCGCTGGAAAAAGGTAAGTTTTAACCCCTTTCCAGAGCCGTGCAGGAGGGGGTTCCTCAGCCACATATGCATCACATTACACCACAAACACAACACGACTAAAACCGACCTTATTACACAATACCACACCACGACCAGCTCACTCTACACACACGCAATACCACAAGCAGGCTCCAAACACATGCACAATACTCTGTCCTGGCCTTTTGTCTCCTGGTATCCATTTATAGAGACACCAGAGACAAGTTGCAAGGAAACACAGTGCAAGAATGTTATTAAATTTGCTTGCACTGTGCAGAACAAATACAGGACTTTTTTCTCATGCTAGAGCTCTTCAGCAGAGCTCTGCGCATGGTCTGCCCTGGAAGAGCATTGAACCAACATGCTCACTTTGAGAGGAGGCGTGTTTGTCATTGGTGATGACAAAACACACCTCCTCTGCCCCGCCCCCTTTTTAGTGGGCCGCTGTGTTAAAAAAATGCCCGGGCCGAATTTTTCTCCCAGTCCGGCCCTGGTTGCGGTAGCCTTGTCTAGCCAGCTGGAGAACAGAAACCAAAGAAAACTGTTTAAACTTAGGTAAAACTGTGTGTTATGAGTACAGTCCCTTGTTGCCTGCTGCTCGTTGGGGTCCGAGCTTGGTCATGTCCCGGTGCTCGTGGTTGGTCAGTTCCGTGGGGTAAAGGGGACTACTGTGGTCGGGTCCCAAGTGGATTTTCCTCTCAGATCTCTTGACGGCCTCACCAAGGGCAGACAGTCCCAGTGCCCGCAGCAGTGTAGGTGCTTCTTCGGCCGCGGTGATCACGTGGCTAGATCTATGTGGGTCACTGTGAGAGCTCGTGTAGTGGTCCAGCGGTATGTAACTCCTGCGGTTCTCAGTTGGCTCGTGGTTGGGTGGAGCATTTTGTGCCATTGCAGGGTGGACCTCGATAGGTCTTGGTAGAAAGACAGGTCAGCACCCTCAAATGTGTATGGTGTTTGGTTTTGTATAGCTGAGAGGAGTGCTTTTTTGTCTTCAGGTTATAATTTTTAGCATTGATTTTAAAAAGACAGGAATGTTCTACAAAATAGGGGTAGAAGGAGATCAATTCATCAATGTATTACACTTTTTTGAGACCATTAGTCAAGTGACAATTCAGCATTAAACACAAAGAGTGGATTGACATTAAATTGCAAATATAACTGTCTTTTCATGATGATAATTGATGGAAATGAATAAAACCAATTTATAAGCATTATTAATAACAACTGAGGAATATTTTTAAAGACAGGATAACATTCTTCTTCTCTTTAGTTAGATGTTAAGATTTAATTTAACACTCTACTCTTCCCTGGAAGATTCCCATGCTTTTACTTAAATTAAATCAGAGTAACCTGGATTTCTTCCTGAAATGACCACAAGTAAACACTTCTTGACTCAACAAAACATTTACTTATTCTAACTTTGCTATCATATTCAATTCTTTAACTAGATCAAGATCCACAGAGTCATTTCAGTGACATCTAGTGGTTGTTGAGCATCACCATTATCCTAAAAAATAAATTTAAAAAAATAGCAATTTAAAACTGGCAACTTACTTCTGTTGGAGTGTTTATTTACTAAATCTCAAATTACAGCAAATTGAAATTTGAAAAGAAAAGTTTAATGAAACTAAGGTCTCAGATTAATATTTGTGTATAAGGTTTTAAAACAATTTAATATTTTAAAAAATATGTTGCTATTTTCGATATAAATGTTTTTGTATATCATATATTTTTGATATTTTAATATTTTGGTTAAATAATATTTGAAAAGTTTTTTTTTATGCAAAAATATTAACTTGAAACCGAAGTTTACAAAATTCTTCAACTCTAGTACAGTAACAGTTATTTTACTATTTTAGCTTAAATGTTGTCATTTGGATTTAATTTTGTGTTTAGTGAATAAACTCCAGTATGTGTCATATTGAGAAACAATAAAGGTATCATATTTGGAAGCAAATATCTTAAAATTCTAGAACATTTATTTAATTGAACAATGGTACTGAAAAAGGTAACAGATTTAGATATAATATTAAACATCATGATAAAAATTTATATTCTCATCTGTCAGTTTCTTTTTTTTCCTTTCACATCTGGTGTTAGAAATTGAAAATTATTTTTTGTATATATGTACTTTCCCACCAATTGATTGTCTGCAGGGCTAATACAAGAATTGTTGTCTATACATGCAAAAATGAACTTTGTTGTCTCACAAAAAGCATCTTTGCCTGTGTCTCTTAACCCCCCTTTTGACCCTTTAGCTATTGTTTTTCCTATTATGTGTATCATGACCTTAACTGTGTCTCTTATACCATTTGTGCATATTCTATCCCATCCTTGCAATTCATATTCCAGTTTTCGCATCTTTACCCCCTCTTGTTGTGTCTCACCTCTCATTTTTCTCTTATCCCCCTTTTTAATGTTTTACTACCCTTTAATATATTTTATCCCCCTTTTGCCAAACTTGTTTCCTTTACTCTCATATGTGTCCCTTATCTCCTTTTTTGTCTCTCTGGAAACAAAAAGACCAAGGTATGCAGCTGAAAGGTACATTTGCTGGCCTTTTCCACTCTACAGTCATGTGCTATTCAATCTTCTTCATTTTTGATGTTATTATTATTATTGGTATTTATATAGCGTCAACTAATTCTGAAGCGCTTTACAATATTATAAAATGGGAGAAATTTACAATACATGAGACAATTACACAGTGACACAGGAACAATAGGTAGATGAGGACTGCTCAAACGAGCTCACAGTTTAGATGAGGTGGGGTACAAATACACAACAGGGCAGCAAGGGTGACAGCCACCAAACAGGGTGGAAAAGTAGCATAACTGGAAGAGAGAGTGGAATATGGCTCTTTAGGAGAGCAAGAGACAGACTTGGGTAAGTATAGATACATTACTCTGGGAGTCCATAAGCATTTCTGAACAGATATTTTTTGAGGGACTTCTTAAACAATTGAAGACTAGGGGAGATTCTGACAGGGGTAGGCAGGCTGTTCCAAAAGAAGGGAGCCGCCCACGAGAAGTTCTGCAAGCATGAGTAAGCAGTAAGGGTGAGAGCAGCGGACAGGAGAAGGTCACCGATAGAGTGGAGAGACTGAGAAGGGGCATACCTATGAATCAGGTAAGAAATAGAGGAGGGGCTATAGTTGGTTGAGCTTTATTGGCAAGGGATGCTATAGGCATCAAAACAACTTAAGCTCAATAAAGCATTTTTGGTATGTAGGTCATGTCCTTGCATTTACACTGCTCAATTCTCTGCAATTTAGGAGCTAAATCACTTTATTTAGGCAGCCCTTGTCACACCTGCAAAGAGAGATCTTATCTTTAAACTGTATTTGTTTTTGCAAGGTCTGTTTAATTTTAGAATGCCTTATCTCTTTTGGACCATGCAAGAACCTCCTGTGTGTGATTACACACAGCCTTATTTCTTGTAGGCTATATGAGTCACAGCTAGGGGAACTATAGCTAGCGCTGCATGGCCAGAAACAACAGTAATTTAACACCTAAATGGCAGAAAATTGAGCAGTGAGACTGCAGGGGTATTATTTACACACTAAAACTACTTCATTAAACTAAAGTTCTTCTGATGCCTCTAGTGCCAATTTAAATCATTACAATATGTAATTACATATAGTTTTTAATTACATAACTGAGAGGATCAAAACAAAAGGTTAATATGGAAAATATATTAGGATATTTGTGAAATTGAGAGAGAAATTAGACTTAAGACTCACAATGAAACAGTGCTAAAATTATACCTGGAGCTTTTCTGGTTGTCACTTTGGACTTTAGCCCAGATCAGCACCCTCTCTAGCAATGCTTCTTGGATTTCACAAATATAGTATAATAGGTCAAAACTTCTGATGGATTTTGATACTCCTTGAGGACTAGCATGAAAATAACGGATCTAAGTAATCTAACTTTTGATATTTTAATTTTATGGTGGTTTTTGGATTTGTAAAGTAGAGAGGTTATCAGAAAACATCAGGGATTTTAAACAAAATTGCTTTGGAGAAAAGTGGTAAAAAGATGAAAGGCCAGTTATTTTGACAGGTTTACTTGACTACAAACAAAAGAAACAAAAAACAAGAGTGAATATACCTACACATATACAGTTAATTTGAGAAATTCAAGATGCTTAAGTCAAAGGTCAATATATATATATATATATATATATATATAGAAAATAGTAGTCTGATTAATACTAAACTGGGTTATAATTATACATTTATATGCTTCAAAGGTTGCACAAAATACAGTATCAAGCGCTTATCTAATATTCACACAGTCTCCAAGTCAAGAGATCAACAGAGGCCAATTCCCCCTGAGTGAATTGAAGATGATTGGGAATCACTGGTGCAAGAAAAGACAATCCTGTTCCATAAAGATACAGGCATAGCAATCAAATAAAATAGAGATAGTTTAATGAAAGAAGGAACATGAACAGATAAATGATTGAATATTCTTTTTCTAGTATGAATAGGCACACAGGTTTTTTTTTTTTTTACCAATTAAATAAAACATAGCTAGAAGAGCAAATTCAGAGCAAAATAATCCAAGATGTTGGAATTTTAGAATGTTTCTTTTGGAATGCCATCTATAAGAATTTTAACTTTTTATTACACTTTGATATAAAAATATGACATGATGACAATGAATAAGGGGAGGTATGGCCAGTAAATGTGTTTCAATAGCCTCAAGAGTATAAGGTGTAAAGCAAGCATATCAAACTCAAAGGCTAGCACCAGCCACATAAACAAGCTTTAAGTTTATGTGGGCCACAAAAAAAAAAAAACACCTTACATTTTCATAGAAACATAGCTTTGTATTAAAAAGTACAGTATAAAAAAAATCAGCACCCCGCAAGCTGGGAAATCAGTACAGAGATTGATCTCATCAGCACCCCATTGGAAACCAAGGAAGAAGTTCGACTCCAGCTCTCCCTTTCAAGGTTAGAAAAGAGAGGAGCTTACTGTAAGACTCCCTCCCCAAGAAAAAAATAAATAAAAGTTAAGTGTATATGTATGTGTGTATATGTATGTATGAATTAATATGTAACATAATTAAAAGGCAAAAAAATCAAATGTATCAAGAAGTGAAAAACATACTAATGAAACAATATGTCAGAGATTAAAAAATATGTTTATAATATAAAACATCAAGGATAACATAAGGAAAGCATTTCCTAGAGAACAAAAGTAATTAGTATTATGTTAATAAAAAAAATGATGTGTAATGCCTTCTAGTGCTTTTACAGTTTAATATATCTTACAGTTATGTACTGGTTTCTTAATCCCTCAGTAACACAGCTCAGTAACCCCTCAGTTTGCTTATTTTGACATTTAAGCAATTTTGGCATTTTTGTGTTCAATCACAATTTCCATCTTTCTGATTTATAGCACCTACACATGCTCTATACATTTTTAGGTAAAATAGGCTTTAATATATCATATATTATAAAAAAGAAAAAAGAAAATAAAACAAATGTTTTTAAAGTTTGGGCAATAATTAGTACAACATTAATGCAGATTAAGTGATTTAAATGAAAGTAAATTCTTAAATTTGTCCTAATTTACAGAGTGCATCATAAGCCTAGTATTTCCGTTCTTTTTGGAACTAACAGGTCATAATATACAAGGACTATATCACAATTTGAATGTGGAACATTATGTTGGTATGTTTTTCTACTGCGTTTAACCCCTTAGTGACCAGGCTGTTTTCAATTTTGTTGCGGTTAAGGAGCAGGGCTCTTTTTAAATTTCTGCAGTGTTTGTGTTTAGCTGTAATTTTACTCTTACTCATTTACTGTACCCACACATAGTATATACTGTTTACTATCATCAGTAAATGTTTTTTCTAAAGATACCATTATTTTCATCAT